GGTGTTTACATTTGGGCATCAGTCAACTGCAGACAGTGTTTGTATTGTGTTTGGAAAAGAAAATCCAGAAATTATTTTAGAAAAATGTAGCAACCGTGTGATATTGGAACTGCTGGATGTTTCTGAAACTGATCAAACCGATATTTGCACCTTACATGTTCCTAAGAATTGCTTTGAACACCTTGTAAAGCGAATTTACAAGATGATTATTGAAGGGGATGGAATAACACTAGAATCATTCCCCCGGTTCAAAAATCAAGAGCTTGCAGATTGTCTCTTAAAGTATATCACCACAATTGGAGACATACGAGCTTTCCATCGAGCTCATTTAGGTTACTTTTCCACCAGAAGTCTATTAGAATCTTGTGCGAACAATGTTTTTTTCTTGAAAGCTCTTTTCAATTTCAAAGTTGATGAGTTCATTGTCAAAGAAAGCGGTATTTTGTTCTTTTCGAGAACATTACAGGGAACATTACTACGATCCCTAGAACATAAAAACAAGGCATCCATGTCTTTTCTGATTGCAAAGGGAGCGTTCTTAACGGAAAAATGTCTTCATGAAGCAATTAGTTCCAATGACGTGGACTTGACAGAGTTCGTATTATCAAGGAATATCTGGATAAGATCAGAAATCAGAAGGTGCACCAAACTTGACACGCCAGATAATATACGTGGTGTCCTAGAGAGGGGAACCAGCATGTGCAAGGTACAGGAGATAAGGAATCTGTATCGCAATCAGAATTCATACCAAGCATCTACAAAACTATCACATATGAGTGCCAAAGATATGTCGACAGCCGTTGAAGCAATGGATTTTAACACGCTACAAACGATTTTTCAGTCCCCGGGGTTGAAAAATCAGCATAATTGTCTTATAAAAGCAATCCTGGACAAAAAACACAAGCAATTAAATGATGCTATCGCCATTAAAAGAATAGCTGGACAAATCGACGGAACAGTTGTCCAGTATGCGTTACATCATTGTGACTTGGACATGTTTCGTTTCTTACTTTTGTCATCAAACATCAGTGCTTCACATCTGAACTCAGTGCTTTCTGAAGCCATTCATCTGAACAAAACTGACGAAATAGAAGTTCTGATCAAGGCAGGTGGACAACCGACTCTGGAAGATTTTGTGAACAAAGCAGGGACAACGTGTATGGGTGTGGAGTGTGTTGTTGAAACTATCATGAAAACCACATCATGGACACGTGAACAGCTTGATCGTGCTCTTGACGCAGCCGTGCGCTCCGGTACACATGCTTCAATGAAATTCCTTATCAAAGGTGGAGCAAAGTTTCTAGAAGATGCGTTGGTAAATGTATCTAAAAGGCATTATGGTCCGGAAGTGGAGTATAAATACAAATTGACTGCTTCCTCTACAAAAGCAGATGATAAGCTGAGGGAACTTTTAGAAGAAGTTCCGGCAATAAAAATAGTAGCACAAGTTCACGCTACAGTTCAATATGTATTTTCGGAACACGAATGGTCGCAAAAGCAACTGGATGATGCACTTGATGCTGCATTAGTATCGGGGTCAAGGGCAACCTTACAATTGCTGAGGCTCAGTGGAGGCACGTTTCACAGCAATGCTTTGTTAGCCGCTGTAAGAAACCTGCGTTATGCACTACCCATTGTTAGGTTTGTGCGAGAGTATGGGGAATGGTCAGTTGACCAGCTGAGCAATGCATTACACGAGGCTTTAGTCATTTGCAGGCCGGACTTTATTATTTACTTGAATGAAGAAGGAGCATTGTTCAATGATTCGAGTTTAAAAAATGTTCTTCGGTGGAAGGTTGAACAACATGTTCAGATCAAACACATAAAACACATTCTTAAAGCTCGAACCTGGTCACCATTTCTGCTAGATGAAGCCATTGATTTTGCATGTGAAACAGAAGGACTTGCAATTCTTGCAAGTCTACCAATTGCAGAGGCTAGGTCAGAATCACTCACTAGAAATGTTCTTCTAAAATTACGAGCGGTTGGAAAGAAGAAAAAATGGATTATTCAGACGTTAAAAAGCAGAGGCATGGATGCTGATCTTGCTTTAGTTTTGAATTATGAAATTCAAGAAGGTTGCACAGACATTGTTGAACATCTTATTGGTGAGCTGGGGATTTCCTGTGACAACGATGGCTTATCAAATGCCATGGACAACACCCGGAACTATCAAAGCTATGAGAGACTGAAAATGGTCCGTCTGGTGCGTGAATCGCAAAACTGGTCTGATGAGTTGCTGACGAGGGCGTTAGACAAAGCTGTTGGACTCGGGTACAGTGAGGTGATATTGTACCTACATACCCAAGGGGCCAAGTTCAGTGACAACAGCCTGGAGTACGCAATGATGCATAAAAATATAGGATACGAGCCATATGATTTTGTTACTTATATAATGGAATCACGCCATTTCAACAAAGAACAAATGAACAGTGCACTGACAAAATCTTTAGAGATTGGCCATTATAAACTCGTGACCATGTTTCATGAAAAGGGAGCAGAGTTCGCCGAAAAAAGCCTACAAAACGCAATCCGCAAAGAGTGGATACTCTCAGATCGACTCCCAGCAGTCCAGTTCATACTTAATGCAAGACGATGGGACACTGATGAAAAGAATGACGCGCTGCACAAGGCTGTAAAGTTAGGGGATGTAAGTTTAATTGCTTGTCTTCTCAAATGTGGAGGAGAGGTGTCGAAACAATGCTTGTCCGAAATTCTGGAGAAGAAATGCAAACCGTCACATCGCCTCTGTATCGTAAGGCTTCTGCTCTCTAGTTCCCATTTTTTGGCACGAGAGCTAATTGAAGAGGCAGGGGTAAAAGCTAGGCAACTGTCAGAGCCTAAACTCGAGGCGTACATCCAGCAATGTATCAAGTAGGGAAACGTCATAAACCTGGCGCCTATTCGATCTTGAAAATGGTTTCTTTTGGGAACAAAACCAGTCTATAATTCAGCATGCATGATATGATGAATATCATAGGATCACATGTATTATAAGAATGACAAGTTCATCTGTTTTAATAGAATAACATAACATGTTGATGCAGACGTCATTTATCCGGTTGCTGTAGTTTAGGAAACCCTGCCTTTCCAAAGCACAATTGTCCGAGCTATCCAGCCGTTTGTCATAGGAACGTCAGCGGCAGCAGACAGAAATGTTCTGTTGTGTCATGATCGCCAGGCAATAATTATGCTTAAGATGCAAAAACATAATGATTTATGAGGATGACAGTGAAAAATCTTTAATAAACATTTCATAAGTCTTGCATTAAAGATGCAATTATTATTATGAATGAATGGTTTTGGTGGCAGAACACCATGCAATTATTAGTATTGATCGACAATAGGTAAAAAAAAGAGATAATTAGACGAAAGGTGAAACATAAGGATTGTTTGACAAGAGGTAAAGCATGAGGATTGATTGACATTAGTTAAAGTATTAGGATTGTTTTTACAATGGGTTCAGCATAAGGATGGTACATGTATGACAATAGGTAAGGCAGTGAGATGGTTTGACAATAGGTACAGCATTGAGATGGTACATGTATGACAATAGGTACAGCATTGGGATGGTACATGAATGACAATAGGTACAGCATTAAGATGGTACATGTATGACAATAGGTACAGCATTGAGATGGTCCATGTATGACAATAGGTACAGTATTGGGATAGTACATGTATGACAATAGGTACAGCATTGGGATGGTACATGTATGGCAATAGGTACAGCATTAAAATGGTACATCTATGACAATAGGTACAGCATTGGGATGGTACATGTATGACAATAGGTACAGCATTGGGATGGTACATGTATGACAATAGGTACAGCATTGGGATGGTACATGTATGACAATAGGTACAGCATTAAGATGGTACATGTATGACAATAGGTAAGGCATTAGTATTTATGATGCAGTGTAAATTGATGTTTGTGTATTACGTTCATCTCTGAGAATACATAAACATAATGTCTATTTGACAACATAAACATAGTGTTAAGAAGTACCTGACAATACATAAACATAATCTCTATTTGACAACAAAAACATAGTGTTAAGGAGTACCCGACAATACATAAACATAATGTCTATTTAACAACGTAAACATAGTGTTAAGGAGTACCTGACAACATTCGTGCCAATATTGCATACACTGAATTTCTGGGATGAGGTACAGCATAAAGTTATGTCATTATTAGCATACCATAGAATACGTAGTGTAAATATTGATTTTTTTAAGAGTGTTTGTATGTCGAGGTCATATTGGGAATCATCTGATCGCTCGGAATGAAAGTTAATATGAAGTAATTGGTACTATACTGATGTGTAAATAGAAGTTACAGTGTTATTTTTTTGACCCTGCTACGTGTTTTTGGTATACATAACATTGATGCAGGCATGCTTTGTTTATGGGATGTAGCTAATCCTATACACGAGACACAAGACAACTGTGTTTGATTATTGTTTGGAGTGTGGTCAAAGAACGGATGAAAGCAGGATGGAGGGAACACGGCAGGTTTTATGGTAACAAAATATGTTTTAATATTTTACATGAGATAAACCGGCATTTTAAATGTCAATGAGTATGGTATCTAACTGTTGTGTACACTCGTGAAAAGATTGCGTGAGAAACGATGTATTTACTAAAAATACACTCTTCTAAGTGTACTCGCTACATGCGTGGTCATTTACAATTTGGAATCTAGTATGTTTTAGTGTTATAGCTGTCTAGAACATGCATTAATTGTACATACATTTTGTATAACATGAATTCAATATAATGGTAATTGTAATTCATCATGCTTTGAAAAAAAAGGACGAAAAGACCTAATATAGTATTACTGTTTAAATATGTTCGTTTACAGTATATAAATGTACTTAGAAATATTGTAAACGCTATTAAGATATCTCTTCTTGGTATACGTACATGGCTTATGGTATATGGCTTACACATGTTTTTAATCAATTTTCACTATTATGTTACGAGAGTACAAATACGTCCTAAATTTACATTGTTTTGATGTGTGTATAAGTGGGTACTAGCTGTGCATTTGAATTTACACTTGGCTTGATTCTCTTTTAAAAGCGAAAACCTATGTTTTACTAGATATGTATGATACGCAGTAATAAGTGGCTGTGTTACCTCTCGGTGACGTCGTTAGTGTCTGAAATAAGAGCACTTGATCTACCACTTTTGGTTATAATAGTTCTAGAAATAAAACAACACGAGCTCTAACGTTAAAGTCGTGAGAAGCTGGCTTATTGATATGTGAGGCGCGGATGTCTAGTGGTAGGACTCAGGGCTTGTGACCGAAGGGTTGCGGGTTCGAGTCACGTGATAAAACTGTGTTGATGAGTATTAGACTCAATATGTCATCAAGTTGAAATAAAGACTATTATTATTATTAAACTCGTTCAATAAATTCAATATGACATGGACACGAACGTAAGATCATCTATTTAAGCATCGTTTGATGTATTTGAGAGAACTCATTATATAATGGATTTCAATAATATTGATCTGTTAATGTACTCTGGATCCAATATATCGAGATTTGAAAGTATTTTTTATTTTAAAAAAGCATACTTTAAAAAGTGTTGTTTGGCATGTCCTAATATATTTAATAGGCATGTTATTTTTATAATTTTTGCAAATGCAATTTTGTAATAATATTTTGGGGTTAAAAATAAAATTTCCAATTAGGAGTTTTACTACAATTTTTGTTGTTTGTTCATGAGAATATGATTCAGTCTAACATTGCAATACACTTCAATATTGCAAATTTGTCGCAACAGTAAATATGTAAAATAAATGAATAAATATCAAGAAAATTATATAGAAAATAAAGGATAATTAGTTATAGCATATCGTAATCGTCAGAGATCAAGACCACGGAATTATCTAAGTCCGTGTCAGGACCAAACAATGTGTTATATAAAATATGCCACAAAGCCAAAATTAGAAATTATGATACGAATAGACAACTCAGGACTCGAGGATGCACCCAACCAAAAAGGAAAAGATTCATACACAACACCATCTACAGATGAGAAACCATATGATCCAGAAAGGTTAGCGTCTGCTTCAGCAGATATAGCAGTCATCATTTCTAGGGAATAAACGTACATAAGCTCTTAAATATTGGTAAAGGTCAAGGATGTCACGAGATTATAGTTGGGAATCGAAACCGACGACAATTATTGAGCTTAATAAATGTAAATTAAAGTACAACGAGTCCCTGTTATCTACAAGGCCTACATTTATATTACAGATTGTAGAGAAATACGTCTTTCCATCTCGTTATCTTATATATCACTATCACTATATCACTATTCCGTCTTTTCGTATTGCAGAGTTATCTGCTCTTGTGAGCAGGTATTGGTTGTTACGTCATTAGTTTGTGTGAGAAAATTACGTCGTTTTCTCAAAGATCGATGACGTTACTCTCACAAACAAATGACGTAACAATCAATACCCGCTCACAAGACCAAATAACTCTGCAATACGAAAAGACGGAATAGGTGTCTTCACTCCGGACTCATTGTATAAATCAACTAGGAGTTGGTGACCTACTATTTGGCAACACTCTGGACATTATTTCATTGGTCAATGCTTTGCAACGTCATCTGCCATTATGACGTCATAATTAATGGTGATTGTTTCCCCAATCGAAAACATGAATAATGTACATGTGCATTCCCAAGAGAAACTTATGGTTTTCTAGATATACTACCAGAATGTTGTGGGATGGTTGAGTATCATGTTTATTTAACTCTCCATAGTTAATTTTCAAATTGTAAAAGTCACTAGGTAAACCTCGTGCCTTTTTACACAATTTTAAAATTCACGAGCTCCGAGTTGGATAAACATGAAGTTAGGTTGTCAATGGCATTACATATCCTAGCAAGCTTCGAGCTTAATGTTATTAATCTAGACCTTAATGAGTTGTATAACGTTTTCACTCCAAGCCAACAAACTTCTGGTCAAATGACATGACTGCAGGCATAATGGTTCTTCAGGAGAAGTTGTTTGACTATATCTTTACGAATTTGAATCTTGCAGACGTTATTTTAGGTCAAGGTTATTTCTGTTTTCCTGTTTTGCAAAAATACCACAATTTTAAGCCGGTTGATTCTTCAGAAAAATTGGTGCAAATTTATATTTATCATTTCTTAGGTACATCTTCGATGCCTCAGACTTTTAAAATTGGTAAAGTTTTTTTTTCACAAATTTGAAAGGCTTCATTTCAGAAGGCAATTTACCCAAGACTTTACTCATAAAAATTCTTTCCGAGAGGTTGATGAAATAAAAAGGTGACAGACAACGAATGAGTGACGCTGCACAACGTCATCAGCATACTTAGCCCTTCAGGACAGGTGATCTTAAAAAACAGCTACTCTTCAACATCTACTTTACCATTTAAAGAGGAGAGACACTTCAATTTAGTTTTTTGAATTTTATTTTATTCATTGGGTAAGTTACACAAACCGTTAAGCATTATTGAATTAATCAACGGTTCTTTGAAAGCTTTAGATCATGTTACAAAAGAGTTCTGTATGTGTACATCAAAACAAACATAAAGACATAAGACAAATGGCAACATATAAATATAAACAGAAACACAGTAAAACCTTGATATAGTGCCCCTTGTTTGATCTGCCAAATTCTGTACCACCAATATACTTCAATGTCCCTTTTTCTTGCTATCTTAACCCTTTTACCAATGTAGACCATAATGGACTCATCCAGATCAATGCATGATAGACTATAATGGACTCATCCATATCAATGCATGATAGAGTCAACTAAAGTTACCTAGGGGTGAAAGGATTAAGATTCCTGTATACATCTCCCTCAGTTTTTTTCAATTCCTTTATAAATGTCTCTCAATTTATAATCAAACCCCATTTTAACACCGAAATTTATCTGGACCAACGGTGACAGTATAATGAGGTTTCACTGTATGATGTCGTAAGTTCAGATCAATTCAAGGTGTAATTTCATTATAATGACACTACGTTCATTACACTGGCACTCTTAAATGATTTTGTGATAAATATCAAGGTCCCATTGTATACTGGCTCTGTCTAATTTAAACTGGGAACTTCTGTCTCTCTTCATGTTTAGCCTTTACATTAGCTCAACAATTAACGTTGGAGTAAAGAAAGTTTGCACCACAACTTTGATACTTCTTGTACACATAATTCATTTTGCTTGGTCCATAAAGCTTTAAAAGTGTGCGTGATTTGTGCAAACTTTGGTTTAACTCTGGAGAAACTCATGACCAAACTGGTATTACCAGGAATGAATAAATCAAAGACTTTAACTCATTCACTCCTGAAGACACATTTAAACACTTCCAATTCAAAATTTGGAATAGTTCATTATGAAATTTCAAGGGGTGAATGAGTTGAGCGATCCCTGTTATATAATTTTTGTATAAAACAGTCTGTATGGTCCGATTAGCAATTTTACAAGGTATTCAAATGACAACAAGCGCTAGCGTCGCTAGACAAACTCTATAAAAATACTAAATAAAGTAAGCGACATCAGAAGATCAAGTGATCTCACAGTTTTGCATCAGAAAGTTATGGCAATTATGTTATACGGTATTTTACTAGCTTCTCACAAATATTAGCATATCTCTCGCCTGAAACAGCAAGCACTAATCACGTTGATTCCATACCATTATTGAAAGGAAGTACAATTTTTAGGTCAAATAAGAAATTAACACATTTCTTTGATATAATGCATTGTAAATATATTGATATATAATATAATAACACAGTAATTATATACTATAACAGGGTTCAACTCTGAGATTGTATTAAATACAAATTCCCTATAAACATGATTCAGGGTCATGTTTGTCACCAAGATAGTCATCCTTTCAAATTCAGGGGTTACACTCACTCATTTTCTCTGAATCCCTGAAAATGTCATGAAAACATCGACAGCACACTGTTCGCTATTTGATTAGTTTTAAGGGTAAAAATCTGACCAATTCCTAGACTGATACCTGTCCTTTGAAGATTTCAGAGAAGTGACATGGGACTTCAAATCCTGTCAATTCTACCGTTACACTGCCACAAGATTCATTTGATGTTCATCTAGTCCACTAGTATTATCCATTAGTTGGCGCATACAGAGCCCTAGATTTTGTCATGTATACTGTAAACCGGGAAATTGTTGCCCAGTCAAACTTTCGCCCTTCACCATGAAACCATTTTTTTTATCCCAGTGTAATTTTTACCCTTCACATTTAATTGTTATGTATATTTTGCTGTTTACCTATATTCACTGTAGTGATAAATTATGCCCTCATTACAGAGGATGAAAAAGGTGAAAATTTAATTGCATCAAAAATTTTCCAATACCGATATACAGTTTTCTAGAAGAGGAAAGAATGGTATTGAACGTAGCACCTGGAATTTCAAGCATGCGACATTATCAGTTCTGTCATGTATTTCGCTAAATCGAGTTATAAAATCGGTGTTACGGACAGTATTATCACATGAGCAAGGAGGCAGGCTTTAGATATATCACAGAAGGGTTTAAAGAGTTTATATCAATGTAGGATATTTATAGACAGAAAAAGTCAACAAATATATCCAACTTGATTTGAATAATTATAAATCTCACATTGGTACAAAATTAATATATTTTTTGACAAATATACATATTTTTTTTTATCATCATACACGAAATACAGAAATAACTTTGTAGCTCTAAATATACGTATGAAAAATATGGATATGTACAAATTATGCATAATCACATGAAAATTAAAATAAAAAGATTTACATAATTTCATACATAAAATATGAAAAAAGGAATTACAGAGATCAGAGGAAGAATAAATAAAGAATAACAACGAAGACAAATAGTACATCACAATATATAACTACAGTAGAAATGAAATGTTTGAATAATTTAATTTATATGGATTTTCAATTTTTTCAATGTAAACAAAAGCGAGCAATTTTTGAAATAGGGATGCATTCCTGTAATACATGTTATCATTCAAGATCAAATGTAAGCACTTGTCTGTGATATGGAGTGTTCTGCATGTGCGATACAGTTAGCTAAGCATAGGCCATTTCCCAGTGTCACATGGGCCATATCTGTCTGGCATACACCAAATTTGTCATGTCAAATTTGATTCACTTCCAGTAAAACACATTTCGGAAAAGAATTCACACCTCAGTTACACTCTTTTTGAACCATATTTAATAAATTTTATGTTTTATGATAAAAAGTTAATACAACAATTTCTATATCCAACCCCGTATGAACCCTCGACACGTATCAGCCCTCAGGCCTCCGGACCCTCGGGTTGATATGGAGGTCGCAGGCTGATATGGGGTAGGACATGAAAAGGGTCATTTTTAAGATATTATAAACTCAAATGTTTATAGACGCAATGGAAAGTCCGAGTCGAACGAATGTTTGTGTACAACATCCGACCAGTGACCAATTTCTGACCGATTTATTGTAACTGACCTTAGTGAACCTTAGAAGATTGTCGTACATTTAAAAATGTCATCACTCTCTAGTCACGTTGGGTATAATCATTTTAAAACTTTAGTGTTTGAAAACAGTTGAGTATATGCAGAAGAAAATCTTCCAGGTAAACTACGGTTTGTAGAAAGACATGGTTTAGATGTATCAAGAACAATAAATTTGAAACATAAAAATACACAAAATTCAAATATGATATGATAATGTACTAGTTAAGGTACCATTACTATACATTGTACATGTTTTAGTGAAAATACTTTTTTTTAAGTAAGAAAGTTATTTTGTCATGCTAAGCTTCGTGGAGGTAAGTAAAATAGATTATTTCACATATAATATAAATAATTAAAAACAAAATTGTTATAAAACTTTCACCAGGAAAAAAAAGTAATTACACAATTTAATATACTACTTAATTAAAACATTGCACATCATAAAATGATTAGATTATAAAACAATACATAAACAATCAAAACGAATCATTATGGATAAAGACACTACCAGAATTTCTTCGAAACAAGCACTATTTATCTATAGATAAAATCCCCAACAGAGCATTCAACACATTCAGAAATGCATGATTGCCTTGTGATAAACTGGTATGTATTTTTAAGGTTCATTTATTTATAAACATTTAAGATATAATGTGACTTTATGATCATTTTTAATGCTGGGATAATCTGTACAAATGCAGGAAATTCAAAAATACATTACAATCTGCACATGTCATTTCCAAGTCATTTGCAGGTTGATCTGCTCTTGGCAAGTATGGGCGGATTGGTCGAGTGGTTAACACTCTGGCCTACCAAGCAGGCGGCCGGGGTTCGATCCCCGAAGTCGCCGTACGCATGGAATATTAGAGAAAGTGTTTTTCTCCTGCCCACACAACTCCAACAACCCAGATGGAGTATAAAATGGTCTGGGGTGGGTGTTGCGGTATCTGTGCTGCAGCATTCAAGTGAGGTGGCACTATAAATGATACCGTTGGAAGCACGGTCCCACTACAAACAGAACACAATACATCTCCAGCACACACACAGACATACACACATTTGGAGATATTAGCCAGGTGGCATAGGACTAGTAGTTAGCGCCTGATAAGGCAGCTCCTGCGAATTCCTCAATATTGTATAGATTAATATATATATGCTAATTGGATTGACTGTATAGAATTGTATATCTATGTACTGTAAAGCGCTTTAGAGTGGCTTATCTTAGCTAGATAGGGCGCTATATCAAATGTTGTATATTATTATTATTATTAAGTATGACAGAATGTTGAATAAATGTATACACTTGTAAATAATCTGTCACACAGACACAACATAGAAAAGCTAGAACATCAACCTAAACATTTGTCTTTAATATACATGTATAAGCTATGCTTGTATTAGCACTGACCCAAATTGGAATTCTTACAAAATTCTGATAGGAAGGTTTGCATGCGAAAAACATTCAAAACTGATGAGTCTACGTGAATTTCTTTGTAGAATGATCTTGTTTACCTTAATTCATCAGAGGAACTTGCCTATGATATTACTTAAGGATCCCTGTCCCACTACATTGTGGTATATTGTATATACAGTTACCTCCCCTTAATTTCGCTTTGTATATAAGTGAAACCAGTTAAGCCAGGATACTTCCAATGACCATGTAGCTCCGTCGGTAAGAGAGATAGTTTAACAATCTGAAGCCCCATCAAGACATGCTGAATTTGTTTACACTTGAACACCTGTTGTTGATTATGTTTTGTTTATTTCAACTTCATTCTTTTTTCGCAAAAAGTGCCACTAGGTATGGTTATCTTTGCAAAAATGATTGATGAAAATAATACAATATTCATGGCAGATTTCTTTTTAATGCATAGTTACATTTTTGGCAGTGGTCAGAGACCCTTTTTTTTAACCTCATTGTCACCATGGTAAACTATCTGGTTAGTGACTTAGCTAGCAGGAATTTCCCTTCAACTCAATTGTAAACGTACTAAACTAACAAACTGTAGTACTGGTTCTGACTAGTGAATTACATGTCTGCAATCATATGATAACTATACTTTCTTATATTTCCCGAAACCTGAAGTTCATATTTTTGTTTCCAAGCAATACCATGTGTTTTCACATTGGTATAACCATATTGGAATAAAATTATTAGAGAATATATTCCTAAACCAACAGTTCTGTTCCTTAAAATCTACACAAACGCTGTTCAATATGGAACAGATGGTCTCTGCAGACAAGGCATTCAAATCCAAAGTATACATAGCTCAACCTACAATTCATGATCTTGAATGCACCCCAAATGGCAAATGGTAGCAAATTAAGAATATTGAAATTTCTCCTATTTACAACATAAACATATTTCAGGCTTTTTAAACATTATAAATGTTCCTGACCTGACATCCAACATTTTACTCTCTCACTAATTATGTGTCCAAGATACTTTAATTCTCGTTGTGTTGACAAACTGCTTCATCTTTCTCACACCTCAGACAGGGATATCCAAAGTGATACCCTGTGCTAGATTTTTGTATCTCATCCTATCTGTCTGGCACCTTTCTGCGATGCCATTTCGTGGAATTTTCACAAACCGATGTATTCATTCATAGGCTAACATTCAAAATCTGCATTGTAAATATTCTGTTTGTCATTATATGTATTATTTTGATGTTGTAAGATTCCTGATGTTGTAGATCAAAAAAAATCTGAACAATGAAATATGTTTTCTTCCTTGTACGGACAGACTACATTTTTTACGCGGAACATTCAAATTAGCTTTAGTAGTGAAGAGGTTACATTTATTTGAGGCCCCGGATGGGATGTTTGGTGCAAGAATATTTGTTTTTATCGATAATTGATTTTATTGGTCGAAACCAGATACCTATAAGTATCTATCATAACTTTAGGCCACACTTTATACATTTCTATGTAAAATAAAAAAATGACAACCAAAGAATTAGTTTGTTTTGATGAAAGTATTGGTCCCTAGCTAGTGATGTGTTGGATATTGGACAACTCTACAGTATCTACACTTGATATTCATTTTCAAACAAAAATAAACAAACTTTATCAGTAAAAAATGTGATGGCATAATTCATATGTTACTACATCTGAAAATGATAAGCAAGGGTTGACATAAAATTTGAGCAAGGTTTGCATAACTCTCCAAGTCTTCTATCTGACCCTTATTGTATTTGATTCAACTTGTTAATGATTAACATATCAAATAATCTATGAAAGTCAAAACTGAATCTAATGACAACAAAACTTGTTGTACAGAAATTATCCTGATTGGTATTCATGTTGAGCAGAGTTATCTCCCCCTTTGGTAATTTCCCCCATTTCAGTAGCCTTTTGCCACACTAGGCTATGGGAAGAAAATAAATAGTGGTAAGTTAGCCCATTCATACTTGGTGGATGATTTTGAAAACTTCATTTGTATCATGAGAGATTGTCTTTAAAACTGAAAATGAAAAAATGGTTCAACAATTTAAAATAATAATAAAATTAACATAGTGATAATATTTGTTTGCAATATTGAACAGTTTTTATGAAATTACATACTCTGAGTTTTTGACATACATTTAAATAACATCAGAGTTACAACTATAAATCTTAAACTGAGTCAACCTAGTATACATTTGAAATGCCCCAAGATAACTTTTAATTTCATGGATCATTAAAGCTAAATGGCATAAATGATTTGGAAAACACTTGATTTTTCAAAATCATCCGTTCAAGTTTTCAAAATCATCCATATTACAATGTGTTTTCAGAATCACTCGATTGAGTTTTCAATAATGTCCATTTAGAAATACAGCCAGCCCTGTGATATGAAGATATTTTGGGAAGGGCTTTGGTCAAGACTGGTTATGCCAATTTTTTTTATTTTTTTGCCGATACACATAGTAATGTTTGCAGGTCCTCCGATTTACTCCCAAAGAGTTCAGAGAGGATATTTTTGCCAAAACACTATTTAACAGAGGTCCTGTTATTTTTAAATGCATTTGCTACAAGTCAAACCTGGGACCTCTGGTTTACTGGTCTGATGCTCTACCGAATACACAATAGGGTATAATGAATCTCTCTCTAGTCTGATGCTCTACCGAATACTCAATAGGGTATAAAGAATCTCTCTCTAGTCTGATGCTCTACCGAATCCACAATAGGGTATAATGAATCTCTCTCTAGTCTGAGGCTCTACCGAATACTCAATAGGGTATAAAGAATCTCTATCTAGTCTGACGCTCTACCGAATACTCAATAGGGTATAAAGAATCTCTCTCTAGCCAACTCAGTAGGATGTGGCTAGTATTTTACCAGGGTGACTGTGACAACCATATCTAATCAATTTTCCTGGACCCTTATCATAACTTAAAGGAATGCATTACTTGAGGTATTACGCTATGGCAAGTGATATTTGGTTAGATGTAGATTTTAACGTTAATTAAAAGTTAAGTCGTGACAGATATGGGACAGAGTGAAAATAAAGAGTATGTTGTCGATGTATACAATCCCTGATCTAATTAATATGCGTAATTTTTTGAGCAATGCTTCAAATCATAACAAACTGACATCTATCAAAAGGTGTTGGTAATATCTTGACTTAAGGAATAAATATTCGGGAGGGTTGAACTTGACCTTGTGTATCCTGTTCCATTCGCACAAACATTTATAATTTTGTTACTTAGTAATTCATTCATCCCTGAAGACACATTTGAACTCTTCTGATTCAAAGGTTGAAATAGTTCATTATGAAATTTCAGGGGGAAATGAATTAATATAGAATTTTACATTTTTACATAATAACGAATCTTTACTTGAGGATATATCAAAAATATTAATAATCATAAAAAAATACATATATCATGAAATGTTTGCTGTGTATATGGTACATCACGGTTTTCATGGTTGCTATGACACCACGAAAATAAACATAACAGATTTGACTGATATGCTTGACTACTGTGTGTTTATATGGGGTATCCAGGAAAGTTTTTTTACCACAAAACAATCTAAATGGTTTTAAACCACGAAAGAACAAACCCACAAACATTTTATGTTATCCAATACACTTTTTACATAAGGTATCTTTAATTGTGGATCTCTAGCGCAAAAAAAATATTTTTCGTATGAAATTATAAATTCTAGAACAAAAAATTAATTGTTGTGTAAAATTAAACATTGTTATAAACATAAATTTATGGCAATTGACTTGCAGATCTCTCTATTCTTATCCTTCTGACAGGCATAATAAAATCTTGTATAAAAGTATCTATTTGTATAATTTTCACCTGTGAGGATCTCTCAGGTGTAAATCTAAAGACACCAGATCTGTTTTACCATTTTGACTGTAACAGTAGGATAGTAGGCACTTTGTTATGACCAGGCCTTCATGATGTCATCTGTTTCTCATTGGACAATCTGGAACAAAACGTTAAGCATTCATATATCACCGTTTCAATATGTGTATAATTGAATAATATAGTCCAACAATGCATTCACTTCAATAAAGGTTGAATCCAGGACACAAACCTTCACTATAATTAACAATTCTGCAGTAATTTAAAAGAAAACAGCACTGACAGTTGCAAGTATATTTTCAACATAATAAACTTTATTTAACCCTTTCACCCCTATGTAACTTGAGTGAACTCTACCATGCATTAATTTGGAAGAGTTCATTATGGCCTACTGTGGTGAAAGGGTTAACATTTTATTTTTTTTACTCATTCTTGATGTTAATGTCTTGCCAAACACCAGTTTCTGTAATGGGAGTGTGGTACACATTTCAGAATAACAAATGTTGTCAATTCTAGCACTTACGTTTGTGGTGCAAACTTATGTATCTATATTGTTATATTGTATAGCATCTATCTTGCTTCTGATCTGAAAAATGATTTCACCTCATATGTATCTAGCAATAAGCCCATGCCTGATAATAACCCCATCCATATCTATTTCAGTTTAGTGGAAATGCCAACAAATGCTATTTAAATGTCCTGTCAATTTGCCCACAAACACACACTTCCAGTCAGAGACAATGTGTTGGCCCCCTGGGCTTATTGCAGGATAAATACGATTCTGAAATCAACCATATGCGGACACCTGTACACTTGTATCTATTTATAGATCAACCTACTGTGTACTGAAAATTTCACCTGACATTGCATCCTCATCAACATCATTCTGCTGTGACACCAGCTTACCTGAAATTCGCTTACCTTCTGTCTATCATAAACATTGCATCCTTATAAACATCGTTCTGCTGTGACATCAGCTAAGCTGAAGTTTGCTTACCTTCTGTTTATCATAAACATTGCGTCGTCATAAACATCGTTCAGCTGTGACATCAGCTAAGCTGAAGTTTGCTTACCTTCTGTTTATCATAAACATTGCATCGTCATAAACATCGTTCAGCTGTGACATCAGCTTAGCTGAAGTTTGCTTACCTTCTGCCTATCATAGACATTGCATCGTCATAAACATCGTTCTGGTCTGACATCAGCTTAGCTGAAATTCACTTACCTTCTGCCTATCATAAACATTGCATCGTCATAAACATCATTCTGGTGTGACATCAGCTTAGCTGAAATTCACTTACCTTCTGTCTATCATAAACATTGCATCTTCATAAACATCATTCTGGTGTGACATCAGCTTAGCTGAAGTTCTCTTACCTTCTGTCTATCATAAACAAACATCGTTTTGGTGTGACATCAGCTTAGCTGAAGTTCTCCTACCTTCTGTCTATCATAAACAAACATCGTTCTGCTGTGACATCAGCTTACCTGAAACTCGTTGCTCATTCCCATGAGGATGTTCTTGACCTTGCTTATGTAACACAGAACATATTTTCCCGGGTATGTAGGCATATCTTTTCCCTTCCAGGTCACTGTGATATTTGGTTGGCCCTTGTCTCCTGTGTTGCTCTCTGCGTACTTGTAGCTGATGTAGTCATTGTACGTTGCAAAGTCAGTCTGGCGTCAGGGAAATAATTTTTTTACGAATTGCTTCTATGATTAAATACACATGAAGAGGGGGAATCTCTGAACAGCGTACATGTATCCGTACGTGTAAAATTTGCTATCAACTAAAACATCTATCAAAATTGAACCAGTGGTCTTAATATTCCTTGAAAACATTTTATGTGTGGGGTAATTATTTTATCAATAATTAGAAGTTTAATATTAATTTAGAGATGAAAATGAGGTTATAGGCAAAATATAAAGCTGAGTATTTGATCTTTTAATCCTTGCTATAGGATTTTTTTTGAAGTTGCATTGCAATAAAATTCTGATAAAAAGGCTGAAAAACTTCATTTCTGTATAAATAAACTTCATCAGAAGCTTATAGGTTTTATAGCATTAAAATCTCTGTAGTTACCGTATTTTACCACAAATAAGTGCCCACCCCTAGTGAAAAAACATAGACAAAAAGTAGGGAGGGGGCTTAATTGCAAGCAACCCCCCTGTTCACAAATGTCCGCCATCTTGGATATATACCACTGTTTTGATCTATGACCACGCATGTATTTATTATACACTGTAGTTGTTCATGTTTGCGAGAGGGGGCTTATTTGCGGTAAAATACGGTAATCTAGAGTATCTCAGGCAAAAAACCCCATCAATATCTGTATTCCAGTTAAACATTTATCATTGACACACCCTAGACAATTGGGCTATGAAATAGAGATTTCTTATAGACCTACAGAATAATTTTATAGACCAGACCTCAACGAAGAAAATTTTCCTTATGTATATGTATTTAGTGTTGATAACATGAATTCAGAAAATACCAGGATTCAGAAAATACTAGAATTAAAAAAATACCTGTAATAATAAAGGAATTAAAATAATTTAACAGAACGCATTTTCACTAACTGCAATATATTTATCATTGAATTATATACACCGTATGAAATATCTTCATAGACAACTTGGTTTATGAAGTGAATGATAACCATGCATAGATCTACATTTTTTTCATGGCAATTGTCTATCTGTCTACTGTTAAGTTTAACCACTAAATACCAGTGTATATTTGTAAACCTCAGACTTTGGGACAAATATTGCTCACCCTGTAGATGCCTATCCAGTCCCAGGAAGACGAGGCCAGGTCTGGGTTGGTCCTGTAGGTGTATGTAACATCCACTTCTTTACCCAGCTTCCACACGGAGGGGACCTGGATTGTCACGACAGGTGGGTTGGGTGGATGGGGAAACACCTGATGACGGGAATTAACAACTCTATTGGTGGTTTATTACTTACTTGCTTGACCAATACAGGTTCCTGGAAAGAATAGGGCCTGTTGTATCCTACTGAATGATTGTAAGAGGCGACTAATGTGACCCCCTCCTCCCCTACAGAATTTAGGATGGTTCCTTCCATTCATTCTGTTTAGAGGACAATGAAGAAACCAAGAACAGACCTGCTATATCCCACTGCATGTGTATCACAAATGGCTGCAAATAAGGGGCCCCCTGCAGAATAGGGTTTTTATATTCCATGTCTTCTACTAAGACGGCATGGAGGAGACCAACATTTGATCTGCTGCCCTCCTTTCAACACTTTTTCATTTCTTATCTTTCCTGGCTACTTTTATTGTTTGTTTTTTTTGTTCTCTCTCTTTCTGGCGGTGTCTCCCTAAGACTAAGAACCCATCCTCATTTTACCCTGAATGTTGCAAGGGCATTAGATATTTCCCAGAACTGTAACATGGCAAATTTCCATCCAGTTTCAATTTTGTCAATTAAATGAGAGGGTTAATTCAAAATGGATCAAAAGATAGTACTATAAATACATTACATATATAATACATATTAATACGTCTTAATAATATGTTTGCCTGTCTATCAATCAAAGTATGAAGTCTAGAGTCATACTGAAGCTATTTTGGTTAAAAAGAATGAGTGAAAGTCAACACAATCCATTTTAAAATGTTGTAGTTTTTATACATAGTCAACAATTTGAATAATTTTAAGGTGCCTCTTCTGAGCATTTTGTTCATTTTTGTACATTGCCACTTAGTCCGAATTATTCTGACCTTTTATCGACATTTTTCATATCGGTCTGTCGTCGATTAACGTCAGAACTACGGCCCTCTATAATATGCGGGAAATATGCCACCCACACCCGGAGCGCACTTCAAACTGATATTTTATAGACAAATCGTCACTTTCACACACATGTCGCACATGGATCGAAAAAGATCTATTCTTTATGCACAAGATGAACATACATAACATGCTTCAAACAACCAATACAATCACTAAAAACATATTTTTTCAAACTTACTCTGTTTTACTCTAGTTTTTTGATAGCCCCACCTTCTAATGCCACATGACTAAAATCTCGCCGGCCTACATCATAACGTTGGGAAATACCTTCGGTAACGCGAGATCTCGTCAAGTCATGTGACATTGCTCATGGCCTAATTTCCATTAAAAACATGGGTTGGTATAGAAATCGTTGGAAAATACCTTTCGTAATGATCTTTGAAACATGTTATTGATACCACCTAGTGCATAAAGAATAGATCTTTCGATCCATGTGCGACATGTGTGTGAAAGTGACGATTTGTTTCTAAAATATCAGTTTGAAGTGCGCTTCGGGCGCAGGGCGCATATTTCCCACATATTATAGAGGGCCGGAGTTCTGACGTTAATCGACGACAGACCGATATGAAAAAAGTCGATAAAATGTCAGAATAATTCGGACTAATTGCCACTGTCCAGGCTTTCAATAGACCCTTGAGACTGAGAGTATGTTCTTTAATCCCTAAAATGAGTTTTGAATCTTGGTTTTTGAAAGGACAAGTGTGTCTGAAATCGTTAAATGCCAAGGGTTAACAGAAAGCCCCGAGTTTTACCCTCTACTTCCGTAAATACATACCGGGAATTGAAACTCTGAGACGACAGGTTTGTGGTCACTTGTCTTGTAGGAGGGTAGAGATTTGTAGTACAACTGTTTCACACTGAGATCAAGGTTCTGGAAGGAGTCTTCATGAACCATCCACAAGATCCTATCGCACCAGGCCGGCACACGCTGCTTCTCGCTGTATGTAATGTTATCATGTAATGAAATCAGAAGCCAAATCACATTGCATCTAAATACATGTAGTGCTATAGATGAAATGGTGCTTTGGTAACTCCAGAAAAATACCATGGAAAGTAAATATAACAAGAATGATGCCAATTTTTATCAAATTAAACAAATTCTATGCACAGATACTTTTAGACTATCATGCTGTGTTTCAGGGTTTGTTATGAGAACAAATTTCTCATTGCGAGCAGGTCGACAAAATCGAGAAGCCATTGCAGGCTGACTCAAAAATTGGCTGTCGTATGATATGTACATATATACCTTGTGTCATAAATGTCTGTGTCCGGGTCAAATTTGTAGGTCGGGGCAAACGTGATAGGTCCCTCTTCAAAGTCAGTGAATACCAGCCCTTCTTCTTTACATCTCAGGAGCTGAAGTGAATCCCATACCACCACAAGTTAAAATTTTATTTGTTAGTAAAATATTTTTTTATGTACAAAAGTTTTATTTTCTTATACATGTTTGTATTTAAAACAGATCAATTTTATTTACATAACAGGAGAGGCAAATGCAGGGCCAGATCAGGATATGAAGCTGGAACTCTCCAAACTCTAAACTGATGCTCTAACAGATGCAGCCACCTGGTCGCTGTTGATTATCCAGAGTCCAGTTCTGCTACATTATTCTCTCCATTAATTGTCAAAGATCAAGTCTTCGACCCCGAAGACACACAGGACCAGGTACCACCTAGACCTTCTGTGGGTTTATTAAATTGGGTGCAAAATGTAACGGGAGAGGAGTAATACATGGCCACATCAGGATTCGAACCCTTTAGACAGACGCTCTAACCTACTCACAGCTACCTGATTGCCAGTGATAATCCCAGTCTAGTTCCACTACATTTATTGTTACATATTTGTATACAAAAGTATGTGATAAATGTATAACACTGAAAGAATCCTCAATGAAATTTAATCAATAAAATATATAAAAATCCAAAGCACACTACTGTACTACACCAATAATCAAGTTATCTCACTTTTATCATGAATCGCATAAATGACTAAAATTAACAGATGGCATAATGCTTGGACACTTTAATAACCAACCTGATCCTTCTTGAGTAAGGCACTGTAATTCTTAGCTTCTATATCTTTTTCAACCTCTGATCTGCTAAGGTCATCCAGGCGGAAGTTCAGGTCTCCCATCCAAAACACATAGCTGGTTATAAAATATTAATCAAATAGTTACCTTGGATTTCTATAGAAGTTCCGTCACGGTCTTATATTACTAAATAAATTCACGTCCGTTACATTTTCTTGATTTTGGCATAATGCCATCTTCCACAGTGTTTCTAGAGCAAAAGTGAAGATACTGTAGCTACTTAAAATGGAAATGAACTCAAAATCGTAACATTGTTTTAAATACATAAACAAAATTAAAGTATCAAGTCTGCTTTTGGCCTGATTCAATAGCCCCAAACTTTATAGATTATTTTCCTAATATCTCAGCCACGTACAACCCTTGCTAATTAAAATTAAACACATGCTGCAGACATTTATTCAACCTTCCTTCAAAAGCAATCATATCATAGGATCATATAGTTTATCTGGAGTTTAATTATCATAGGTTGCCTGTGTTATTTTCATATGGAAATCCTTAAAAATGGCCTCACTTGAGATTTCTCAAACAATTAGCCCTCAAGATTTTTCTTTGAGGTTTATACATAGTGCAGTATGCAAATGACTCAACTGTAGGAGGGTAAAGGTGTGAGGAAAGGGCTGAACAATATTTTGAGTGTCACTGGTAACTTTAAGTGAATGAACTCTAGTATCAACTTACTCATGATCTAGAATATTATCAACGTCCTTGTCCCGAAACTTCTGTGTGTCTAGAATGGTAAAGAAATCCTGCAATATTAAAAACAAATTATTTAAATCATGTTTCAACAAAGCAGTAAGATTTTTTTAAATAAAATTAATTCTGCTTATTTCCAACTAGGATTAATGACAACCATTTTGGTTTTCTGTTGTTTTTTTTTTACATGATTAAAAAATTGAATTCTCTGAAACATTACGTAACTTTAGATAACATGAAGTCTGTCAGCATAGCTTAACCCGTTTCAATTTGCTCCTACAAAGATGTTAGATCAGACAATATTTTTAGAAATACCTCGATACGCTCCATAGCATTGTTCATATGAGCTGCCAAGTGGGCGTTGACCATGATGAGGTTGACACCGTTGATATCAAACCTGGTGCTGACACCTCCTTTGTTGCCCTATATAAGAAAAAAGATGCATTATTAATTATATGAAATAATTATCAAACACCAGTACTTGTGAATTTTCAATACTTTAATAACTTATTTAGATTTTCAATTTTTTCATAATTTTTCAAACTATTTTTACATGTATGCAAGGCATATATATTCCTGTACTTCTACTGGTATGTAAATTTCTCTCATTTCCCTGTGTGTAAGACAAAGCTGTCCAGGGTAAGAATGGGGTGTAGGAAATTTCTATCTTACACCCCATTTCCCTATGGCTCAACAATGACGTGACATCACGAGTTTGGAAAAACTCTGCTGCCGAAATGCGGAAAAGGCGAGGTGATGAAATTAAAACCTGTGAAAGTATTTACCTTACACATTAGAAATATGAGATTTACTTTTTTTGCGCAAATTTGTTTGCATATATGGGGTATGCTTAATCTTGCTGACACATTCGTTTTTCGTCTAAAAAGCTAAGGGAAAAAAGTTGATATTTCAAAATGGTAGCCAGTCCAATCGCATTTTTATGGTTTCTGAGCCTATTCTGGTAGTAGGAACGAGAAAACAATACTCTTTCATGCCAAAAGGTGTAGGATAGGGGAATTTGAAAACCTCTCAGGTGGAATTTTCCTATCCTTCACCCCTGGGCATGAACGAGTCTTATAGTATTGGGAACTGTTTTGCCTTTATAATAGTTTACCTCTCAACCATTTTGCACACCGTAATAATGCTAAATTCATCAAGAAGGGGAATATCAATATACATGTAGTACAGAGGTAATTATGTTTTCAATGCCTTCGCCAGGAGTCGAACCCAGGACCTCTGGCTTACTAGTCTTACACTCTACCTAATGAGGTAAAGAGAAATTCTCACTAGTCGAGTCGGCAGAAAGCGACTAGTATTTTACCAGGGTCATAGCGATTCGAAAATACTGCAATACCATGATGCCAGTTATCAATTTTCCAAGTAGGTCTTCTTGTCTGAAAAGTTAATATTTGATGTATCAAAGAGAATGCATGTGTAGCCAATAAGATGACTTACCCACCAGCCACCCATACCAGCCTTGGACCTTTCAGACTCGATGTGTTCGTAGCTCAATAGGTTCTCCCTCTTCACAAAGGCTAACGATAACAGGCCCTGCATTCTTACCACTTTCACCTGGAAGCATAATATGAATGCGCAAATGTAGGTGATAAAAGTTTTAACTTAAATGTTTCGTGTTCCTGATTTACTCAACTCGTGAAAAAATAAATACATTTAGGAATTCTTGATATCAATGAAGCATTGACAATTACGTACCATAAACACATTGTAGGCAAGCAATTCTCTCTTCAATTAAGTTTGATAATGAAAATATTATACCAAGAATTAAGAATTATACCAAGAATTAAGAATTATCATTTTTATGTTCATATTGCCCCCCCCCCCCCCCCCATATGTACACCTATCATTTTTACATTGTGACATATTCGCTGAAAATGAAAGTGTTAATGGACAGGTCTATTTTCAGTAACAGTCACCTTGACCTTGACTTCAAAAACTTTTAAAACCATAGTGCACATTTCTACACATCACAATGTATTTCCATGTGAAATTTCATAAAGATGAATGAGTTTTTTCTGATTCAGAGGTGATCTCTTTAGTCTTGACATGAAAGTGATTGCTATATACGACACCCACGTCTTGGATTTGGGGTCCTAATGAGGTTGGGTAGGATCTTTATTAGATCTTTATTAGATCATGAATTATTTTTTATTAGTAATATTTATCCAATATATCACCAACGATAAATCAAAATTACATTATAATAAATAAGTGTTGAATCTGAACCCACATAAAGCATTATTTCCTAATAGAAATTATAAATAATTATTCATTTTATTTTTTAATGAAATATTTGAGCAGGCTACTTTTAATGGGTTGGTTTTGGTCTGATACTAACCCGTACATATCCTGTTTTCCCGAGAATGTTTGTTAAAGTTTTTGTCCATTTGTTGTCTTCTGCATCTGCATCACCTGTGCTCACTTCCTGTAAACTGTGAAAAAAATGAAATAATGATAACCTAGCTACTTTCACTGGTAAATGTACTGACAAGAATACTCTGTCAATTTAATTCATACCAAAGTCTAGATTGACATTATAGCTGTCAAAACTCCCTCATTAGGAGGGAGACTCCCTCATTTTGACTAAAATGTACTAATCTCCCTCAAAACTCCCTCATTCAAGTCAGAACCCACACAAACTCAAAATCTACATCCTGTGGTCAAATGATCTCCTAGTTTCTGCAGATTGTCTGTAATGATCATAAAAGGTGTGTCTGAATCAAATGAATTCTTTTTGGAGTTATTTTGATACATAAAAAGTAGAAAATAAATTGAGCAAAGCAGTTTCAGTCATGTTTCTCCTTTATTGAAAATGTGGAATGACGGAGATCTTCCTCATTTGAAATGTGGAATGACGGAGATCTCCCTCATTGAAGGTTACAGAGGTTGACACGTTTGGATTAAGTATTGTCTTATTTGAGTATAAGTACTATTCAGTTGCTGTGAACTTACACAAATAAGATTGACAATGTTGACTTATAAATACAACCTACATGAAGCTCTACACATAAAATGTTGGCATCATTATTATTTTTTAAAAGGTACATGGTATGCCAGATCATTCAAGTGACACATTTTAACATGAAACTGATTTGTATGACTAGATATTTTCCATTTTCTCTTTATTTTTTATTGAAACAGAGGTCATAATATTTTGTTCATGCCTCCGCAAAGAGGCATACCCTGGACCTCTGGTTTACTTGTCTCCTGCTCTACCGAATTAACTAAACAGAAATTCTCGATAGCTGAGTCAGTAGAAAGCCGCTAGTATTTTCTAGGCCAACATATATATACTCCCCCTCCAGGAAAGAACTTGTGAGTTTTCAAGAGATCATAGCGATTCTTTTTAAAGTATATTGCTCATATTTGTCAATACTTTCGGGTCGCGGGTTCGAGCCCCATTGATGGCACTATCTTTATCACAATTCCTCTCCTATTACAGCTACATATATATATTGTAAACAGTTCAGTTTTTAAGTCCAATAGCTAATCCTCTAAGCATCCAAAGCAGGACTACAATTATCATATATAGTACAAAAATGTATATACTTACCCTATGCCATACATGTCAGGCAGCATTTTATAAGGTTTATCCAGCCCTAGGAGTTCTGTCATATCACTAGGAGGGTCAGTTGTACCAACGTTCCAGGTACACATGTACAATCTGCATATTAAACAATTATAATTGGAAGCAGTTCATTGTACTTGTGTATGGAAAGTATTGTTAGCATACAGATTTATAAATTAAATTTGTAAATATTATAATCTTACCGAATGAAATTAAACTAAAACGACGCTTTCTTGATTATAAACTAAAAGACACATTTATGAATGTTGAAAAGCACGTTGTTTGTTTTTAATAATTTTATTAACATGCAAGTTTAGATCAAACAAATCATCTTTGGAAATATTTTTTCTTTGCTTACCTAACTATCTTTGGTTTTGGCATGACTACACTATTTTTCGTTGAAGACGCCATTATTCTGTTTCTTTCGACGGAAACGCCAAATATTGCATTAGATCCTTCTGTACTTCACCGACCTCACTACACGAAGTCACAAGTTTCACATTTGTTGAACTAGATCAGCATCTGAAATACAATTTTTATGAGGCCAAAACCTGTTGCCATCAATGTAAATACACATTGATAACATACTACCATATATATTTAACAATATGCCATTTTGCAATTTCAATTTTGTTGCTGTAATTGTATGCAAAACTTATTTAAAACAATCAAAATACTTCCTTGAGCAAGTAAAGTTAAAACCGGAAGTGTGAGAAACGTTTCAGTTTCTGACGCCAAACTCGTGATGTCATCAATTGCAGTGCTCTCTTTTACTTCCGGTAGGGCAAAGTGAGTGGATCTTTCTACTGAATCCTTAAAATAAATCCAAATATATCTGACTTGTAACGAAACATCAGAAACTCAAACTAAACTAGAAGCGTACACTCATATCTAGATTATATTGTTTCGTTATGATATTAATCACCAATGATACGATACGTTCTAAATCATTCGAAGAACTTGTGTATTTACCCATGTGAACATGTCGACTTGTGTTGTCTGCTCGTTATTACTAACTTATGTAGACCTCCCAACCCATGGTTGATCTTACGGGACAGATATACGAATAAACAGAGAAATCAATTTACTACATGCACTTTAAATGCTTTATAAATTAAGCAGTAAGTTGCTTGTCAGTGGCGAAATAGTCGCAGTATCTGGAGTTTGTTTACACGTTCTAAAACCATAACTTGATTGCTACATGCGATGATTTTCAACTTGCTATTTTTATGAATGATAAAAGTAACTGGAAAATACATCACTAGGGGGAGGGGTGTGTGTGTGTAATATGTCATATACATTATAACATTATTTGATGTAAAGAGTGAAAGGGAAGGGCTGGCAGATATTTGGCTATACCTTGATTTAAGTCAGATGTTTTACTTAACCACTACAGTGAAACCTGTCTTTTATATATATATAATATGTGTCCAATGGGACATGCACACAACGTAGTATTGATCATATTATATTGGAAGTTGCAATATCTTTTTACCAATGATGTATGATAGCTAGGTTTCATGATATGTTGGAAGACTCGCATCAGATAAGACATCATTATACACTATAACATTAAGAGTGAAAGGGAGGCATCTTCACTAGCCAAGTGTTCGCTTCGTATACACCCCACTTACCCTTGGCGGATATAGCCGTGTTTACAGAGCATTCAAATATTCGTGCAGTGCCAATCGCTCGCATCCAATGAAATCGCGTCTTACGTATAGCACTGTTGACAAAGGAAAACAGTAATGGTGACGCCCTGTACGGAAGCACGTTGTCGTTTATGTCGGAGTGTTTTGACCCAAAAAAATAGGCGCATGATCTTTTGGGGAAACTTATGGTTAAATCAGTTGGTGGAAATGTTTGACTACGTGCCGCATGTAAATGATGACCTGGGAAAATATGTGTGCTGCCTTTGGATTGGTTAAAAGTTTATTGAGAGAAGAACGATAACTCTGTATATCCGCTAAGTGGCAGTGGAGGGAATTATGAAAACACTGCAATATCCGCCAAGGGAAAGTGGAGTATATATACGAAGCGAACACTTGGCTAGCGAAGATGAAGGGAGGGGGCTGGCAGATATATACCTTAACATCAAATCAGATGTGTACTTAACCACTACAGTGAAACCTGTCATATACATACATAAACGTCCAATGGGACACGCACACATTGTAGTATTGGTCATATTATATTGGAAGTTGCATATACCGATGATGTGTTGGTAGACTCGCATCAGATAAGGCAGGATTTACTGTGTGTGTATTTTATAAATGTCTTCAGTTTTAGCACAAATAAAAACATACGAAATACATTTTGCAGCTTCAATATTGTTCTGTTCTATTTGTAGATGGCTGCTCGTAAGAAGGTTACCAAGGCCCCCTCCCGTATGATCACCAAGGACATTGGTGGTGATAAAAATGGCGGGAAAAGAACAGTTCGGATCAACCGCATGGTATGAGTTCTAATTTTGACTCGTTTTACGATATGAGTTCGTTCTGACTGCCGTTAAAAGATTAGGTCCTTATTCCAAAGGGGAATGTTTTCTTCAAAACACATATTTGTACAATAATTATATATATATATATGCATGTTGACTAGTCTACAAATTCTTCAGACTAGTTATTTTTTTAACCTCAAGGGGCCTGTGCCTGTTGATTTTGGAAAATATCACTTACAAAAAATCATGATTTTGGAAATAAAATGATTTTTTGGCAATGATTTTAAGAATAAACAGCAAACAATATCAGGGGGAAGTATAAAAGGCCCCAAATTAACCTTAAAAAATCACTGCTGTCAGTACCTGTGCTGTATTCTCTTAATTAAAAACACCAAATAAAAAATATGCTATGTTGTGTTCTTAATGCAGTCAAGGTACTACCCAACTGAGGACAGACCAAGAAAGTTGAGGACTACCAAGACTGCCTTCTCCTCTCACAAGCACACAATCAGGCCCACCATCACACCGGGAACTATCCTGATCATTGTAGCTGGACGTCACAAGGGAAAGGTACAAATAGCAATCTCAGGATCACTGGATTAACAAGATCACAATATGTGGATTTATCATTACTCTAAATAACGTCCTAAGCTAATGTTCACATATTGTTTTTAGTCTCTGAAAAATTATCTTTTAAACTGTAATTGACACCATTGTCGGTTCAAACCGATTATATGTGTCCCTGTGAGTTCCTGCCGGTCAATAGTATCACACGACCTTGACTCTTTGCAATACACACAACAGGCGAACTTTGCAACTTTCCATGTGTCATTTTGGCACAATTGAAAATTGAATATTGAAGCATAAGTTTCAACAAGAACAGCATTTTCCAACTCCGAGTACTAAAATTGTCATGAATTACACCGATATATTATCCAAATAGCTGTACTTGTCAGTTCAAATTGTTCGAGAGACCTACATTTTTTTCGTATTTTACTGTGTAATATAGCCTTCAATTACAACTTGTTGTGATGGTAAAATGAGGCGTACATTCTGGAATTATTATGTGAAATTTTACAAGTCTATTGCCGATAACTTGTTGCAATACAGGACTGGTAACCAGTCTAAAAGAGCAGTTGGCCCTATACAACTTTTTAAAAGTATCGTGATACTATCGGTGAATTGTTTCGCCTCTATTAATTAATATGATAGTACACCTCTATTAATTGATAAAATAGTAATTGAATTAAAAAATAGTAATTGAATTAATAAATAGTAATTGAATTAATATAATATCACAAATTTCATTTTTAAGTCAATATCATTGATTTAATTGGTTATATTTTTATTTCAGAGGGTTGTGTTTCTTAAACAGCTTTCCTCTGGCCTTCTTTTGGTAACAGGTGAGTTAGATTTACTGTAATTGTGCAGCACCTTGTTGTTCCCCTGCCCACAGACTTCTCTGGGTCACCACTACAGTAATCTGGAAGTCCAAGGTTACTGACAATCTTACAAAATTGCATCTGTATAGCTTATGAAAGAATGTCTAACCAAGAAAGTGGAAATGGCATGCATATCTAGTGCTGTCATAATATATCTGAAAACAGGTATATCGCAATACATGGGTAAATCGTATCGTAAGCATATTTTTATGTATCTGCTTGGTGTTTTAACTTTGCAAATTGCTACAAATTCTAACAGATACGCCAATAAGCATAAAACAGGCTTTTTTAATGGTTTAAATTTTGTAATCGATGGTTGGTTTGACAAAAAATCTTTTAATCTATGTAATCCATATTATATATGATTAAGTTTGATAACATTCTGACAACAACTTATTATAAAATTGAACACATCCTTCCTATGACAATATATCTAGGATACGTATCGCAATATATTCATTCTCTATTGCAATATATCGTGATACACTTTTGGCGTATTGTGACACCCCTATGCATATCCGAGTGGAATACCTAAGAAATGTTAACAGTAGCTCTTCCTAGTGCCAAGTGCTTCTGAAGTTGTGACAGAGGTTACAGTATAAAAACAAGTCAAACGCATAGAATTGTCTGTATCTTGTTTAACAATAGGAGTAATTTTGGGACATGAAAGGTGAAATTATTGCAATATGGGAGGACTGTTTGGGAGGGGAAAAAAATACTGGCAGTTTGGTCTAAATTGCGTGTACACGCAAGTTTATGGATTAAATTAAGAAAATGCTACATAAACAAAACTTGAGATTATCTGAAAGTCAGTAATGCCTACCATTTATTGATCAACAAACTCTTAAACTAGATAATAGATTTGTAAACATCTTTTCGAAATAAATTGCTAATTATGTGATCTATGTAGAAATCGATGAAATGTATGGATGAATAAGAATGTGTATTCAATTATAAAGAAACATCTTCATGGAAGGTTATTTCAAACTAGAGACGGTTAATGACATTATAAAACGTCTTCTGTGCAGTTCACATATTATTGATTCAAATTGTGGTTGCTTTAATTTTAGTCTGGCCAATAATAGTTAATTGGTGACACAATGACCTTTGGGCAAGTGCAATTAGTGATATCGATAAGAACCACTTGTAAAACATACATTATTTTCACTAAGCACTGTTAATCAAAACTACATGTATATTGCAACATAAAAGAAAAACCTTATTGAATGCTTAAAGTGGGGGAAAAAAAAATTTGTTTGACGGAGGGACAAGTGTAATTAGTGATATTGAAGATAAGACTCCCTTGTAAAAAAAATCTTCAGTTACATTCTGAAACATCTCTATATTGGCTTAATAGTGGAGATATATTACAAAATAAAAATTTAAAAATTGAATACTGAAAGTTGAAACACAAAAATTACCATGTTAGCCATATGTCCACTCAGTTTTATCATCATCTGAGACTACCATGGCTGTATGTATACCAAGCTACTGATATTATCCTGTTTAAATCTCTTATCTGGATAACCTCAAAAACATAACTAAATTGATTATTTGTTCCCAGATGTGTTGTGATTTACATATACAGCACTCCATTGTATATTAAGTTCAGATTTGTCCCTGGCTTCAGAATCAATTTTAACATTTCGGTTCCAGGCCTGTATTTATAGAACTGTTATGCTCAATCATGTGTTCTTTGCCTTAAACCAATTTTAAGTAAGCGGACTTCATGAGCTTGCTATAATCATGCATCATAGTCAAATAGTCAACAGTAAATCATTATAAGGGAATTGGGCTTGAAGTCTCTAAATTTATTTTCTAAATCATTGACAAAATATGATTTTTCTTTTATCACAAGAACAGGAAATTGTACTTGGATAGGGATCTGAGTTTGAGAACCATTTCTGAATACCTGTCTGTCTGTTGATGACACAGTGAAATATTCAGATGTTGATTTCTGATTTAAGTTTCATGAAACATATTGGTTTATTTACCTCTAGGTCCCTTCCATCTCAATGGGTGCCCTCTGCGCAGAATCAACGAGATATACGTGATCGCAACAAAGACAAAGGTTGACATCAGCGGTGTGAAACTGCCAGACAGACTGAATGATGCCTACTTTAAGAGACAAAAGCTCAGGCGCCCTAGACACACAGAGGGAGAAATCTTCGATACCAAGAAAGAGGTAAATGTAATAGCCAGAAATATGCAAAAAAAAAAACAGTATTAAAATATGTATTAAGAAAACATGGACATTCATTCTACTGTCACTAAGTGAACTTAAATCGGGTACATATTTCAGACGGCTTTTTCCATGATAATTTCTTACAAGTTTACATTTCTGCGAAATATATGTTGCCATTATCTGAAGATTTTTTTTATTTTTTTTATATTAGAAATATTTCTAATCCAAGCTTTAATTGAAATATTCATCACACAAAATTTCTCATCACATAACATGGATAAAGTTCTTAGGCCAAAATAATAATGTGTGTTTCTGGTGTCCCAATGGACCCTAGATTTTTGTGACTACACTAAAGGTTTTATTGGCATTTAGTGTTAAGAACTGTTCAAGTCAGAACTCCTGCTATAAATAAGCATAGCATAAACCTACCGACACTTATTTTTTCAAGCAGAAACAGGAAACCTGCAATTTTTTGTTTTTTGCCCTTGAGTGTCATTCCTACTTTTTTAAGGATTTGAAATTTGAACGGCAACTTCAAAATTCTACCGAAATTTGTCAGCAGTAGCGCGATGATAATTGTGCATGTTATAACTTGCACTGTGACGCAGCGTCTGACGACTGTTCCTAGTCCACTTTCCATTTTAAAAACTTCGTCTGAATAGTTGAAAGGCCTAGAGTCATGCTATTTGGCTGTTAAATTCTAACAAAATCACGACCTACATTCAATGTCACAGAGGTCAAATATTTAAAATGAAATGAAAATAATTTCTCTAAGAACCGAAAGACCTAGGATCATGTTATTTGGTTAGTAGCGTCTTTGGTTGGAGCCTTACAGAATTACAAATAAAAAAGACCATGTCATACTTTCAAGGTCATAGAGGTCATGTCAGACAAAAACTCTGAAGAACTGAAAGTCATGTTATTTGGCTGTTAGCTCCCTTGCAAAAGCCTGACAATAGTTTGCCAAAAAAAAAAAAAAAAAAACTTGATATTTTTTTTTAGGTCAAATATATATTGTCAAATACTGCAAACAACTTCTTTTGAAGAACCTATATATTTGATGACAGTGTATAGCATTCTGTAGATTTTTGATTAAAATAAAGAATTGCATGTGAGCTATTAAGACCCCTTGGCCTCTTGTGTGTGTGTATCTTCGCTTTACTTCTGAGTTGCTTTAACTAATGCTTCATACAAATATTGTGACACATTTATATGATTGCTACCTTGCAGGTTTATCAAGTCAGTGACGAGCGTAAAGAAGACCAGTTGAATGTAGATAAACAAGTCCTTGATGTTATCCGAAAGAACAAGGAGAAGAAATTGCTGTTTGGTTACATCGGTGCGATGTTCTCTCTAGGGAACAAACAGTTTCCTCATGAAATGATCTTCTAAATTATATGTGTAAAGTTCTTCACGCCAGATAAAGAAATTACAAGAAGTAGAAGTGGTTTGTTTATTATTTTGCATGAAGTTTAAATCATTACTGCAAGGATGCCTCTAAAAGTAACGAGGTAACAACATCAGGGCCCATATTCATGAAACCGTTTTCATGTTCTAATTTCTTGTCCCAGTTATAAATTGTTAAAGGTTTTGGAGAAAAATTGAAGAAAAATTAAGCCGAATACTGTATTCAATATTTAAATTTGACTTTTTGAACGTTGACATGATTTAGATGGGTTACAAGAAAGCTGGCTTGAGCACAGAATCTATGCTTGAGCATGAGAACGGTTTCACGAATACGGGCCCTGATCCCCTCACTGTGGAACAAGATTTCATATTTAACAGAACCTTGTTATGTCCCACTAGCAACAGCATGGAAATTGTTTGAGATAATTTTCATATTCCACCACTACATGAAGCTTGACGAAAAATTGATGTAGAAACATGGACTTGTTTATTTGAGGCATTGTCAAACTTGACCAAAGAATGATTTTCAATCAAAATCAATGCAGGAATAAATTTGCTATATAAATTATGAAGATTTTCAATAAATAGTAATGGTAACATTACTTTCCCAAATCCATTCGGGAATGGAGTCGCTAGAGCAATGGGGGGGAAAAACAATGTTAAAAAATAATCTCTTTGAAATGTTACCTCGACATTAATGGACTGCTGTAAACATGACGTCATTCAAGGTATTCTGAATTTCTCTGTATGGACAATAAAAGTTTGATCAAAATGAAGCTGCTAGAGTAATGAATAGTATGTAACCTTGGCCATGTATCAAAATCTAAAGGAATGAAGTCGCTAGAGTGATAACAAAAAAATCTATAACAATGGTGACGACCTTGACCATGGAGTGCTGAATCAATAAGGTCACATTCGCGTATCCCAGTTGAAAAGGTACAGGTGGGCAGAACTGTTTCACGATAAACAAACGCACTTGGACCGTTCTATAAGCAGAGCTAAAAATGCACATTTTCAGAGAATAAATAACAATGTATCAAGAATATCATGCCCTTTCTTAATGCGTCCACTGAATTACATAACGCATCTTAAAAACTACACGTGGCTTGAAATTGTTTTCAAAAGTAATAATGCAAACTAGCAATAGTCAGTATTTAAGTTTTGGTCAGGTACATATTGACCCCTCAATCTACGCATGCCTGAAGATCTGTGCCAGTCGTTTTCTGTCCGGTTTAACTGGTTGAACCAGATACGCGAAAGGGGCCTAACAGATTTGAGATATTTTCATTTTTAGCTCACCTGGCCTTATGCTGTGGTCTCATCCGGCATCAATATTTCACTTTAAACAACTTCTTAATAACCAAAAGGCCTAGGGTGATGATATTTAGCCAGAAGCAAACTGGGATGAAGGGCTACCAAGTTTGTTCAAATAAATGACCACCTATTTTCAAGGCCACTGGGGTTAAATATGTTAAAATTTTAAACAGCTTCTTCTGAATAACCAAAATGCCCAGGGTGATGATATTTAGCCAGTAGCATGCTTGAATGAAGGGCTACCAAGTTTGTTCAAATAAATGACCCCCTATTTTCAAGGCCACTGGGGTTAAATATGTTAAAATTTTAAACAGCTTCTTCTGAATAACCAAAATGCCCAGGGTGATGATATTTAGCCAGTAGCATGCTTGAATGAAGGGCTACCAAGTTTGTTCAAATAAATGACCACCTATTTTCAAGGCCACTGGGGGTAAATATGTTAAAATTTTAAACAGCTTCTTCTGAATAACCAAAATGCCCAGGGTGATGATATTTAGCCAGTAGCATGCTTGAATGAAGGGCTACCAAGTTTGTTCAAATGAATGACCTTCATCCATTTTCAAGGTCACGGGGTCTTGAAAAATCTTTTTAAACAACTTCTGAACAACTAAGAGGCCTAGGATAATGATATTTGGCCAGTAACATGCTAGGATGAAGGGTTACCAAGTTTGTTTTAATGAATGACCTTTACATATATTCAAGGTTACAGGGGTCAAATATGTTTAAAACCTTTAAACAACTTCTTCTGAATAACCAAGAGGCCTAGGGTTATGATAATTGGCAAGTAGCATGCTGGGATAAAGGGCTACCAAGTTTGTAACCATAAATGACCTTGACAAACATTCAAGGTCACAATGGTGAAATATGTTTAAAACTTTTCAACAACTTCTCAATAACCGAAAGTCCTAGGATGATGATGTTTGGCCAGTATCATGCTTGGATAAAGGGCTACCAAGTGTGTTCAATTGAATGACCTTAACTTACATTCAAGGTCACAGGGGTCAAATATGTTAAAAAAACTTGATACAAATTCTTCTGAATAGTCGAGAGGCATAGGATAATGATATTTGGCCAGTAGCATGCTGGGATAAACGACTACCAAGTTTGTTGAAATGAATGATCTTGAAGTATATCCAAGGTCACAGGGGTCAAATATGTTTAAAAAAATACAAATTCTTCTGAATGGCATAGGTTAATGAAGTTTAACGACTTCTCAATAAGGAAAAGGCCAAGGGTGATGATATTTGGCCATTAACATGATTGGATGAAGGACTACCAAGTTTGTTCAAATGAATGACCTTCGCCCATATTTAAGGTCACAGTGGTCAATATATGTTTAAATCTTTAAATTATTTGTTCTGTATAACCAAAAGGTCCAGGGTAATGATATTTTGCCAAAAGCATGCTTGGTTTGAAGCCTATAAACTCTGTTCAATCTAACGTCCTTGTTTGACTTTCAAGGTCACAGGTGTCATATGTTTAAATCTTTCAATAGTTTCTAATGAATCAAACACTGATATTCTGCCTGTAGCTGTATTTTAGTCCACTTTTAAAAATATAAGTGTGAGATTAATACCAGGTAAGCGATTCAGGCCCATTGGGCCTCTTGTTGATGATTGCATGAAGTTTGATTAAAATCAAAGAAGTAGCTAGGATAATTATAACACCTTTCTATAAAACCTTGACCTTCACACTATGAAACGGGAACTTCTTCGAAATATTTTCGCGCATGACCAGTGTCTAGAAATTACCAAAATCATGCATGCATGAAGTTTCAAGAGTGACAAAAATTCTATAAATAACAGTTTGGGTAGATGCCGTTAGATTGAACGTCCTATCAACAGCCAAGGTCGTTTTATGTATACATATATGTCTACATTTGTCGTATTGGATTTCCGGCGATAATGCAGATCAGATGCCGATTTGCAGTGCTACTTCATTTGAATACAATACCAAAAGCACCCCGTACAGTATTCCAACCGGTCATACTAACAACCGTGATAATTGGTTTTGCATAATCCTAAATCCTGAACGTTAATTATATAAGCAGCGAATATTAAGGATTTTTGTATGTCCTGGCCTTGGGGGGCAGAACCCTTTATTCCTTTCTTACTTGGGGAAAGCGTTCAATTTTTAAAGTTCAAAAGAAAGAGAAAAATTAAAACAAATCCAAATGGGGGCATCAGATCCATTTTGTTTTCTTCTATGACCACTTAGCAGAAAACAATAAAAGAAACCCTAGATAATTAGTTGTCTTTTTCGATATTCAGTGGGATAAATCAGGCTTATACTTTCCCCGAACCTGAAGGGGATTAGTAACAACACGAACTCGGTCAAATTATTCTCATTCGTATCCAATATATAAAGTTTAATGAGATAAATTGTAACCTTGACCTTGACTGGACTGCTGATTTGCTTGACTTTAACGTCCTTTATGCCATTTTATGAAGTTTGATCAAAATCCGTGCAGGAATGAAGTTACTAGAGCGACCATACGTACGAACGGAACGCTATACCCTATTTGTGACTTTCATGGGAGCCATTGGAAGTGATAAAATATAGTGTTAGTGATATTACATCTTACTGCATGGTTTTACATCTTACTGCATGGGTTAACATCTTACTGCATGGTTTTACATCTTACTGCATGGGTTAACATCTTACTGCATGGGTTAACATCTTACTGCATGGTTTTACATCTTACTGTATGGTTTTACATCTTACTGCATGGTTTACATCTTACTGCATGGTTTTACATCTTACTGCATGGTTTTACATCTTACTGCATGGTTTACATCTTACTGCATCAGTGGTAACCCAATATCTTGTGTATTGGTTACAATAGGTTTGCACTCCCTTTGTCTCTCTGTGTGACTATGTTAGGATGTATACATAAAGATGCCTAGTTTTATATGAGTGTACCTCTTGTGATGGTGGAGGGTTGCATGTTATATTTCAATCAGGTAACGAGGTTATATACATTTGCCCATGACATGTCTCGTTCTATTCGACTACAAAAGCCATGTATAGCATGTGAAGTACTTCTTGAGATAGCGCAGGCCAGGGTTGCATACTTAAAGTGGGCCATGTCACTTTATGCAGAGTTATTGCCCTCTGTTAATAGGACGTAAAACACAAACATTAATCCAGTTGTTCAACAAACAAAAGTTCTTGGGCTTATATTTGACTCATAATTATCCTTTTTACCTCATATAAAATGTTGAAGAGATAAATAATCCAAAGCTCTAAATATTCTCTGTGTATTATTATCCCATACAGATTGGGGAGCAGACTGTGACGTGCTGTTTATATATCACTCAGTTGTTCGATTAAAACTGAAGCACATCAACTACAAGATAACAAATACGTACCTAAACGTCAAAACAAAAGGACAATCAAGTCACTTTGTATAAAATATCTCAACAGTCTTCAATTTTTTCCGCACATTTAGGTATTTCATACAAAGAGTGTCGGAAATCGGTTCGAATAAATTTAAAGCCTTGGATAGCCCGAGTTAGATATTTTGACAGATAAATGTCTCGTGTGGCGTTTCCTCTGGCCCTGACACCAGACTTAGACATTTTGACAGATAAATGTCTCGTGTGGTGTTTCCTCTGGCCCTGACACCAGACTTAGACATTTTGACAGATAAATGTCTCGTGTGGTGATTCCTCTGGTCCTGACACCAGACTTAGACATTTTGACAGATAAATGTCTGGT